CCCCCCCCCCCTCTCCACCGAAAGTAGTATTATGCTTATGAGGTCGGGCAAGGGAGGGAAGAGAACCCCCGCACCACTGGATTGCTATTATTATACTGTTGAAATTATGAGTACTCTTGCTATTACTATTATGCTTATCATTGTTATTATTCTTAGTTTTACTTCCGCGGTCTCCTGGAAGAAGATGAAAATAGCAGTGCTTGATAGCCGTTGATAATAACAATATCATTAATATGATTGATACTATTACATTGTAACAATATACTAACCACAATAATAATACCAAGGATAAGAATAATACTGCGCCGCGCGCTTCGTGCTCGAGCGATATCATCGAGCATTTAGACTTCTGCGAAAGCCTAACAGCCGAAAACTTGGTTGTTGAGCAGGTCCTGAGATGGCGACAGCTGCATGATGCTTGTTGAGAAAAGCGTCGAGCTTGCTAACGGTTGCTTCTCCTCCTTTTCCGACCTGGGGAGTGGCCATGTGTGCCAAGACATCTTGCGAAGGGACACTTGGTAAGCTCGACACGTGGGGCACGTCGTCTTCGGCAAACTCCAACAGCGGCACATTGTTGATAATCTGGCAAGAACGCTCGGAGGGCACCCACCAGTGCACCCGCTCAGCAAGCCGCAAGCTGCTGCAAGCTGCTGCAAGCTGTAAGCAGACTTTGCGAAGCACGCCAGGGAAGCTGCCCGCCCCAACACCTCGAAGCTGGAGCTGACCGTGTGGTAGTCCTTGTCCAACCTGCAAGCTTGAAGCGCACCATGACAGCTTTGCATGAAAACATCTGAGAAATTCTGAGAAGCTGACACACGGACAACTATGGGCGGCAGATCCAGCCTTAGACTCTCTTATGGACGGAAGCATCGCAAGCGAAACCCCTAGGTGTGGGACTCGTCTTCGCCATCCGGCCCCTTTAAGACCTAGAAATTGAAGCTGCCATTCAGTCTCGTCCGATGCACTCGAATCAGTGCCTCGGCTTCGACTGGCCCGATCGTGAGGCGATCCATGAAAACTGGATCCAAGGAGCCTGAGTTGGAGTGGGTTTGCAAGCTCGTTTGCCATGTTCTTTCAGAAAGTTGGCCTAGATGGAACCCGCCCTGTCACACCCGCAAACATACTCCTGCAAATCCTCAGTTTGACGACAAGTAGTTCAGAATGAAGACAGCCACAAAGGCTCACTCCGCGCGGGGCGGGCCATCTGAAGAAAAGCTTCCGAAAGTGCAGGCAGAGGATTTAGCTGCAGTTGGTGTTGATCAACGAAAGGAAATGTGGAATCGGGTACAATCAAGCGACAGAAGGGATCTTTGTCGTGAAGCAGAGCTGTCTGATCCCCGACCTTCCGGTCCACGGCACAGCTCAGACACAGATTCAGATGATCAAACGAGTTGCACCGCACATTCCTGTATTCAATGCGATCGGAAGCCTTCACCTCATAGCAAGCGTCGGGAACTCCATCCTGCACCCAAGAGCCACACCGCACATTCGGTTGTGCTAAGCACAGATGTGTTGGGCGCATCGGCATTCAGCACCTCGTCACCAGACGGCAATGACCTGGCTGCCAGCACATCGAGGTGGATGTACACCTCCGCCAGAAGAGCCAACGGCCCGTCAAGAAGCATTTGGCTGGCAGAGTGGCACATACCAGTTGAAGAAACTCCCTTCCATCCCTGAGTCACGCCCGAACAACTGTGAGCTCAGCCCTGATTAGAAACTCCCTGAGCATCAGTAAGGATGCACATGGAATACAGGTTTTACAGCCGCCGCTAGAGGGCCGAGACACAAAGACAACAAATCTTGCAGAAGCACTGCTGGCCTTCTTTGTCTCTACCTGTCCTGGTGTCAGAAGGCCAGAACTCAACTCGGAGTTCTCCAGCATCGCGAAAGAGTGGGTCTCAGCTCATCACCAAGAGCAGCCGTCACCTTGCCCCGAGAGCCCACGTTCAACTGGGTCTCCCCCTCAGAATCAAAGCAGTCAGAAGCCCGAGAGGTTGGATCCAAAGATCTGTGCCGCACGCCACCGCAGAGCACAACAAAGAGAAAGGTCGCGTCCTGAGATGTCCCACCAACATGGCTTCAAGATGTCCGGAGAAATCTGGGGCTGTGGCACCACGGGGGCCTCCTCTTTCAGCTCAGGCTCGGGTTTGTCCTCCGGTTGGAGGTCACACGCCCTCCACCCCTTCAATCCAGTCGTGACGAGACAGTTTGAGTTTGAGCACCTTGACCTCCTTTACTGATTCCACCGGGTCAATGGAAGCAGGGCGTCCAGAAGGAACGCCAGGATTCCTGAGACTGCACTGCGACGTGTTGAATCAAAGCCAGGCTTTCGTCGGTTCCGAATCCGCCAAACACTGCAAGAGTGCAAGGTCAAACGAAACTACGTTGACAGGGTACCTGGGAACGAGCGTGAAGACAAAGGAAAGTTGCAAGAAGCACGAAGACGACAGGGATCGGTAAGCAATCGGCAGGCCGCATCCACCAGCAAAAGAGAACGGGTCAGAAACGATGCCCGTCAACAGTCCGAACTGGCTTGTGGCTCGTCAACTGGCTCCAGCACAAAGACCAGCGATGTTCCTAATTCATCTGAATTCAATCTTTACTCTTCACACCCTGCAACCGCAATGCCGCAGTCCACTCCAAAAGAGGTCTCTGCTTCAGATTTGCTCCTGCCTCAGTCACTCTGGGCTCTGAGTATCTGACGAGTTCAGGTCTTCCTCCTGATGGGCGAACATTGGCAAACACGCGGAACACTCCACACTCAACCCACATCTCATCCGGCGAGGGTGCGGCCGGCGGCCTGGGGAGTTTTGATCCCAGACCGACCTGTCATCGAGTTGTTGTTCTCTGTTTCTCTGTTATTGCAGGGTCCGGTCAGGATCCGTTCATTTCCTCGGACCGAGTGGCGGGTCGCCCAGCAGTTTGGGGCGGTGTCCCAGCAGTCCCCCCCCCCCCTCCCTCGCCCCACCCCTCCTCATCCCCTGCTTTCTGGCAACTCAAAATGCCCGCCCCGCGACAGTCCCCGAGGCGGCTCTCGCGCTCGCGGTCAAATTGCTCACCGCACCGGCATTTTGTTTCACGCATGGGAAAACCAGACCGTGGAGAGCGATGTTTTGAAGCGTATTCGTCGAAGAGGCAATTGGGGAAGGTTCTGTTGTGATCTCTCCCTAGGCACTCTCCGTGCTCTCACGTAGCTAGCTTGCGGACACGGCTGCTTCCAGATCTGTCTTTACCCTCTGAACCCCAAAGGTTCTAGTGTTGGCTCAGAGCTCCTATTTTGGGAATCGATTCTGAACTCCCCCAGCGTGCTTTCCGAACACAGTTCCTGGATCTCCGGCTTATGGTAACATGCCAGTCTCTTGCTATCAATACGCTATGGAGGACGGGAGATCGCCGGACAGGCGAAAGACTGCAGACAAAGGAGACACGACAAACCACATCGTGCATCGCATCAACAATTCCACGAGCTCCCGCCCTGAACACCGGCTCCTCGCCAGTCTGTATGCAGACGCTCCCAAGAAGCATTCCTGGCGACAAGAGGCTGAACATCATGATCATGTCCTCCACCTGTGGAAGCTCATACAAGTGTGCCATGACAATCTCCACCTGCCATGTCTTCATGGTACGACTTGCTGCCGTTCCTGAGCAGCGCTTGGTGCACAAGGTTATGCAGGACGGCTCCCACCAGCGGTGAAAATGCATGCAGCTGCACAGTACTTTGATCTCCGGGTCCCAAACAGCTTGACGACTGATTGGTCAAATCTCACTGGCGTCCACTGTGCCGTGTTCAGCGCTTGCCTCTGCCCAATATCTGCAAGTTCATGCATGCCCGAGCTTTCGACAAAAACATTATGAAAATGTTTCACTAAGACATTGGCACGGAAATCGGGAACTTCGCCCATGCCAAAGGTGGTAAATCCTAAGACTGTGAAGGTCAACTATTACAGGACCAACTGCAATGCGCAGCAATTCTCCTCATCACCCTTGCTGACAATGTAGAGGTAAGCATGGCTGACGTCTTTCGGCAGATCCAGCACCTCTCCAGCAGTACGGAAGGGTGCCACGCATGCCAAGCTCACGGCACCTTGGAGGTTTGTCTTTCAACCCACGCCGACAGCGACTCCTGGAAACGATGGGAGAACGGCAGGAACCAAAAGCTTCGGCGAATTTGGTGAATGTGTACAAACCCGCCTGACTGGAGAACAGTCCTGCAACTGTGTAGAGCATTACAGGACAGGCTGCAAAGCTTTTGCAGCAAGGCTGCCTCCCTTTGGCGTATCGTCGACAAACTGCAGCAGTCCCTTCTCAGAGACCTCCAATTGCACAGGAGCTGGCTACAAGATGCAATGACGGCGGAATGGAAGACAGGCATGCACAAATCGGTACCGAGTTGATGATGTTGGTGTGTGCAATTCCTTACCAGTACAAAATCAAGCATGGTACCGTGGACCAGCAAAAGAGGGGGGACCAAGGCTTTCCAATCGGACTTGACCTCTGGCCCGAGCTCGAGCGCTGTATCCGGTAACCTAAAGCCAGGGGCCGAGCACGAGCGGGTAAGCCTGTTCGAATCAACCGGTTTCCGTTAAGGGGACCGGCTTCTGAAACATGATTTCTGAGACTCCCAAGACCGAGCATTGTCGTTAAAAATCACTCACGAGGACAGGGTTCGCGACTCGAAAATGAACAAGACGCAGAGGAACCTTGCCGGGAAAGGACAGCAGATTGGCATTCTTCCTCGGCCTTGACAGCACGGACGCAAAAGCCACTGTCTGCGTCTGAAGACTTAACGAAAGTCTCCGGGCAGAGGACGCGCCATTGCTCGATTTCGCTTCCTGGTAGCAGCCTGCAGAGTCGATGACCGCACTTGCTGATTTCAGTATTGCATGCAAAGTTCTGGAATAGCTCTGATCCGAATTGCTGGAATGTCTGCAAGCATCCTCACCGCCACGTTCGCCTGCGAGCTGGACCAGGACAGTCACGTTCTGGTTAGCATACCTCCACGGCGATGTCAAGAGGCCGCATCTTCATGCATCAGCTCCGACTTTGGGTGCTGGCCAGCCAAGGTAGAGCCCACGGTGCAGCCGCACTTTCAGAATGGCCCTAGAGCAAAAGTTCTCTTGCGTCGTCAAAGTGCCGAGCACTGCCAGTAGGGTGAGCACTTCATGGATTCTTTCACCATGGCATCTTTCAGGTCGACTCCTTTCGTGACATCGCCCCTACCGTATCCAAATCTGGAAGCCAAAGCCAGGACCCCCACGAACCACGGGACGCTGAGTGAAATGAACCAACTTAGACGGCAGGCAAGGCAGGCAAGCATCGCCACAGGCTTCCTAACTTCAGGCCTCTAGAACGGGTCAGGTGCTAGGGGGCGTGCCAGAGAGGCGGTCCATGTACTCGCTGGCAATCGGCCTGGTGGCACCAACTCGCCACATCCCAGAACATCTCAGAACACCCTGGAGTCCCTTAATCTTGCGCTTTACTGGAGCCTCGCCTCGAACCATCAGCTCAGCCTGTGTTTCGAGATTGCCATTGCGGGCGGCACCGTAGACATGCCTCCTCAGTCTAGATCACCGCGCCCGATGAGAAGGCATTGATTGCCCAAAAAGGACAACGGGGCTGTCATGTCAGAAAAGCTACAAGAGCGATGCTCAAAAAAGGTGCTTTGATCGAACAGCTAGAAGTGTGCCAGCAGCATCGGTGTTTCTATAGCTGGGGAATTACAACAGAATGCAATAGAAACTGCTGGGGAACTCTTTGGACGGGTATCTTGTGCAGGGCCCGCAGCCTCTGAGTTTGGTGTAACATGAAGCAGCCCCAAAATCCAATGTAATGAACGCCCATGGAGCGGTTGTTTTGGATGTGGGGT